TTAACAAAATTACGGGAAGGGATAGACTTACAAAGGAAAATAGATAAATAAACAAGTAAACAAATAACTTATAAAATATTTTAGATCATCCACCCCCCAAAATTCTATGATTAATAATTTCTTCTACACTCATCTATTGTTATTATAGGATTTTTAACCTTATTAAGATGATGATTTTTGTTAACATCACTTGTCATTATTAGTATTTTTATTATTACTGTTACTGCTATTCCAATAATTATAATAGCAGAGAGATGGAGGAAATATAGTAAAGAGGGAGAGAGAATGGTATCACGAATTCAGAGAGAAATAAAGGGAGAGAAAGAATGTATATATGTATATCATTGGTGTTTTGAGTACTTTCATTGTTAAGGTAACAACGCAACTACATTTTTGAAAATCCTTATGTTATTATTTAATAATATCAACGTTATACTCATTATTCTAATAAACACCCATTCCCATTATCAACTTTATCAGTTTCTTATCGCTATCAATATTATCATTTCTATTCTAAGCAAATTAGTCTGTGGCTACAACCACAGGCAGACAAACAATTGTTCTTCACTCTATCCTTCTTTTCATCTCTCTCTCTCTTCTCTCTCTCTCTCTCTCTCTCTCTCTCCTCTCTCTCTCTCTCTCTCTCTTCTCTGTTCCTGTCTCTGTCTCTCTCTCTTCTCTTCTCTCTCTCTCTCTCTGCTCTCTCTCTTCTCTCTCTTTCTCTCTCTCTCTCTCTCTCTCTCTCTCTCTCTCTTCTCTCTTAATCTCTCTTCTTCTTCTCTTCTCTCTCTCTCTCTCTTCTCCCTCTCTCTCTCTCTCTCTCTCTCTCTTCTCTCTTTTTATCTTTCTCCCTTTCTCTACCTCTCTGTGTTTCTAACACACAAACAACAGACACAGAGATAATCGCATCGCAAACAGAAAACAATCAAAATGCAAAACCTGTCTCATATCAAACTAGTAAATATCCAAGATGTAAAGAATACAACACCTGCCTACGAGGCGGGGGGGGGGGGGGGGGGGGGGGGGGGGGGGGGGGGGGCTCGATTCCCTAGTCCTATTTATTTTACTTTTGATTTATAAGCCATAGTTACATTGGTTTTATTGATGATATCACCATAAATAACAATGGCATAATCAAACAGTTTTAAAACTAGGATTTGGGGGAGTACCGCTTACATTCAAAATTCTAACCCAGGTATTTTTTTTTTGCTTGATACAGAGATAAACAAAGGTAGCTAGAGGAAAGTTTATTGGTAAATATGAGATAAATCGTTTCACTAGATTTTAAAAACTGGAAATAGAGACGGAAGAGAGAGAGAGAGAGAACTTAGAAAGAGAGAGAGGACTGGAAAAGAGAGAGATAAACAAAGATAGCTAGGTGAAAATGTTTATTCGTAAATATGCGATAAATCGTTTCACTAGATAAAAAAAAAAAAAAAAAAAATAACGGAAAGAGAGGGAGGACGAGAGAGTTATCATGTTAGGTGGTGTTTTACCTTTAAAATATGTATGCACGTATGCATTTTACACACACAAGAACTAAATGTATTCTAATCATAATTAACACATTCTGAATTTATGTAAAATGAATTCTATATGTCATATTACCGGAATATAAAGTAATATTTCACTTAGAAAAGATTGTCATTCACTCTCTAACTCTTTCCACCACTCTCTCATTTTCGCTCCGTCTGCCTATCTTTTGTTTTAGTTTTCTTTATCTAAATGAATCCAAAGATGCTATGGTTAGAATTTTCAGATTCACTGATTCAAGTGGTCTTCCATAATTCTTAGATTGTTTTATTAGGCTTTGATCATTTTTGTCGGTAATATTAATAGAAATGACATATCTACGGCCAAGGATTTGAAAGTGTCTGTTTGTGTGTGTGTTTCTGTGAATTATTTGCGGTTTCATATTAATTTTCATCCTCAGTGTGTTCATTTTCTTAGCTCTCTCTATCTTTCAGTCTTTTTCGTTTTTTCACACTAATACCTTTCTATTATATATATATATATATTATATAATATATATATATATATATATATATATATATATATATACACACACACGTATGTATGTATGTATGTACACGCACACACACACACACACACACACACACACACACACACACACACACACACACACACACAACACACACAACACACACACACACACACACACACATACATATATGCACCCATTTATCGGATTATATCAATCTGTTCCTATAAACGCAGGCAAAGTTTGCCAGCCAGACGGATAAATCTAGACATGCCATCTCATTGAGGACATGCTACCCGATAATACTTCACGACCGAGCCAGTTCCCCGAGAGAGAGACAGAGAGAAGGAGAGAGAAAGAGAAAGAAAGAGAGAGAGAAGAGAAAGAAAGAGAGAGAAAGAGAAGAGAAAGAGAAAGAGAGAGAAAGAGAAAGAGAAAGAGAGAGAGAAAGACTTCATCAGCAGACCTCCGTTCGTGACACAGATCTCGGCTCCTTGCCTCTCCGCGCTTTATTAGGTCAGCGACATTTTTCTCGCTGTTATTAGCACGACTGCCTTGCTTGGGAGAGAGATGTGGAACTCGCCCGACAGAAGTGTAAACAATTTTTTTTTTCTATCTATGTATCTGTTGATTTATTTATGAGTTCATTTTTTTACGTGTTGTAAATAGAGCTGGAATTATTGTCATTATTACTACTGCTGTCGTCACAATAATTAGGATTATTATTGTAGTCTGTTTCAGTATTCTAGTATTTCTATTACAAGTATCATCATTATCATTTTCATTTATTTTTCATTATAAGTAACAAGGATAAGGGCTAACTAGTATCATCATCATCATTATTATTATTGCATTTATCACCACCGCCAGGGAGGTTATGTATACGATGACTAGTGTACATGAGAAAGGTGATTTTAATGTAATACTTCAACTGTGAATATTTTTATTGTATTAGTGACCTTATTCTCTTGGCGGAGGTATGAGTTTCTAGTTACTACTATTATTATCATTATTGCTATTATTGTTATTATGATGATTATTATCTTACATCATCTTTACTATTATCATTCTTATCACTTATTATTATGATTATCATTATTACTGTTATTATTATTATCCTTATTACTAATATCATTATTGTTGTTCTTATTATTCAATTACCCTTTTATTATGAACGTGCACTGGAACAAGTATTGCTCAACAACCACGCTATCAGGACACGGTATTAAGGTAGCCCCGTGTAATCATCGTGGCGCGGAAACAGCTGTTAATTTCCCCCACGTGAGCGCGCACATACGCTTAAACGCGAATATTAAGTTAAATTTTGGCGAACCTTTTTGCGGTGGAGAAATTTTGCCGACCCTTTTACAGTCTCATCATTAAGAGAAAGAGCATGACACCGCGACAGTCATATAGCAACCTCTTTTAAGCATTATCGCTCACTAAATAAACCTATTTTTGACACAAAACGGTGTAATGACCTTCATAAACTAGTGTTTTTTTCCTCCCTTGCCTCATCCACTTTACCTTTCCTCTCTATTGTTGTTTTCTGTTTTTCCTTCGTTACTGGTTTTATTTGCTCCTCCGTTCCAGTTGCATTCGTATTTTTTCTTTTCCTTTTACTCCTTTTCTTACTTTTTTTCCAATTGCCATCGTCTCTTTTCTTCTTTTTTTTCGCCTGCACGTCACTTTCTTTCCTCTATTCTGCTTTAATCCTCTCCCCTTTCTTCTTCCTGCGTTCCAGTTGCTTTCCCGTCTTGATAATTTTCCTATCCTCTCTTCGCCTCGCTTCCTCCATTCAATCCCCCCCCCCCACTCTTTTCCCGTTTAATGCTTCTCCTCCTCTCCTTCGCCTTCCCGATTCCCTTCTCTGTTCTCTCCCATGTCCTTCCTTCGCCCCGTTTTCTCCCCCGCCAACCCCATCGTGATCTCCGATTTCGAGGCTCATCTTGTCAAACGCGATGCCGATATGATGCGTCGGCGGAGAGTATCTTGTACCCTGAGTATCATGGCCCTTTCTCTCGAGATTGAATATGGAAGGAGGAGAAGGGAAGAGAAAAGGAGAGAGAGAGAAAGAGAGGGAGAAAGAGGGAGAGAGAGAAAGAATGAGAGAGAGAGAGAAAGAATGAGAGAGAGAGAGAGAAAGAATGAGAGAGAGTAAGAATGAGAGAGAGAGAAAGAATGAGAGAAAGAGAGAAAGAATGAGAGAGGAAAGAGAGAGAGAGAGCAATGAGAGAGAGAAGACAGCAGAGAGAGAAGAAAGGAGATGAAAGAGAGAGAGAAAGCATGAGAGAGAGAGAAAGAATGAAAGAGAGAGAAGAAAGAGATAAGAGTGAGAGAAAGCATGAGAGAGAGAGAGAGAAAAGAGAATGGAGAAAAAGAAGAAAAAGAATGAGAGGAAAGAGAGAAAGAATGAAAGAGAGAAAGAAGGGAGAGAAAGAGAGAAGAATGGGAAGAGAAAGAGAGAAA